AGTAAAATTTCAGCCATGAAAAGACAATGTTAGAATTCAACTGGGAAGCAAATCAGTCTTACAGCATTTGCTGCCTCCTTGTCCCAAACTGAAACCCCTAGTAGGTTCACCAGGAAAGAGAAATTGTAGCCTGGCCCTTACAGAAATCATGATCTAAAAGTTGCCCAAACTTTGAGCCAGCCATAGTGGCTCATGCCTATATTCCTATCTCTCTGGGAGGCCGAGGCAAGAGGATCCCTTGAGCTTAGGAGTTGAGACCAGCCTGAGCTGATTTTTCCATTTTCTACTAAAAATAGAAAAATGAGCTGGGCCTTGTGGCAGGCTCCTGCAATCCCAGCTATTCAAGAAGCTGAGGCAGGAGGCTCACTCAAGTCCAAGAATTTGAGGTTGCTGCACTCTAGCCTGAGTGAGAGTGAGACTCTGTCTCAAAATTAATTAATTAATTTAATTAAAGTTGCCCAAACTTTTTTTTTATTAAATGATAGCTGCATACATTAATGCAAACATGGGGTACAGTGTAGTGTTTTCATATACAATTTGAAATACTTTCATCATGCTGGTTAACATAGATTTCATGTGGAACAAACTGAAGAAAGGATCTCTGACATTGAAGACAAAGCCTTTGAACAAGCCCAAGAGCGCAAGGATGAAAAAAAATGGAAAATAAGAACGGACCTTTTTCTTAAAGAGCTCTGGGATAATTCGAAGAAAACTAATATTCGCCCAAACTCTTAAATATGACTATCAAGTCCCTTCGGGATCTGTTCCTGGCCCCTCATCTTTCCAAACCACCCACCACCACCATCCTTAGCATTCTGTACTTTATTCAGGTCACAGAGTGTACTGTTCTCTTTCTCACCCTCTAGACTTCACATGTGCTGCTTGTAACATGTTTCCCACTTTCTTTTTCTCATCCTCCCCACTCCCTTGTTCCCCTGGCTGATTATAATTCATCTTTTGGACCACAGTTAGCTTGTATACTATGTATCAAGCAGGATAGGCCAGCTCATGCCCAGCTCATGCTGCAGGGAGAAATGTCCAAGTATCAGTAACTTAAAAGAATAAGCAGGGGCGGCACCTGTGGCTCAGTGGGTAGGGCACTGGCCCCATATGCGGAGCATGAAGAGTTCAAACCCCATTCCCAGCCGAACTGCAACAACAACAAAAAAAAGGTTTTAAAAAATGCACAAATAAGATAACAAGGATTTGTTTCTCTTTCACAGAAATTCCAGTGCAGGCCCAGCCAACTCTCCAGGGCCATATATGCCTCCAAAGTCACTGTAGCGGAGGAACAGAGCTGGGTCGTAGCGCAACCAGTCATTACTCTGGCCTAGAAGTGACACTTGTCACTTGCATTCACAACTCACAAGCAGAACAGTCACAAGGCCAATGTCCTGTCTAACACAAGGGGACAGAAACATAAGATATCTCTATCTGGCAAGAGTGGTGAAAGCAGAATTATCAATAACCAGCACTAACATTTATTATAAGACACCTCTTACACTGAGAAGCCTGCATTGCCCTTTAAATAGATAGAACTGGTTTAAGTGTCTCAATTTGTTGGGTATTTATGTTTGCTTGTTTTATCCAGTTATTATCTCCTCCTTCTTCCCCACTAGGTAGCAGATCCTTAAAACCATCTTAACTGGTCACTTTCAATTAGCAGAACAATTTCCATTCAGCTTAAATATTCAGTCCCCTTCACTCTCAACTTTCAATCTCAAGGCCAATTTAAAATTTATCTTATTCCTCTACACACAGGGCAGGCTTCTAGTGGAGGATGATGTATAGCCTACTCTTTACACACATTCCCTTTCTCCTTGGTGTTAGGGCAGAGGGAGAGTGAAGAGAAACAGCAACTGTCCCTTTTCTTTACTGATGAAGTTGACTTTTGGCCAGCAATAAATGCCCTATTTCCTCAGGCTTCCCAACACTTGAGTCTCATGACACACATATTTAGGTCCTTCAGAAGACCAGTGTTCATCTTCCCCACTGCATTTTTTTCCTGTCCTGGGAGACTAGACTTCACCTGGACCCCTTTCACCATCACTACTCACCTCTACAAAGACAGTCTGCCCCTCAGGCTCTTTCTGTAGGTCACCCCTTTGAGGAGGGAGGCTATTATCAACAACATGGCTCAAGGCCACCTACTTTCCCAGATGTCCACTCAACCCATAGAGAGCCCTCAAATCCTCCCTACTCTAAATGGTTAGTAGGCAAATGGGTCTGTTGCCAGCTCCTTACTTAGCCCTGTTACCTGTTGCCTGTTGTCTTTGCTCTTATTCAGGCAATCCAGGGACAGATTGACAATGCCAATGGCTAAGCCTGAATCCAACTGAAAGATAAAAAATGAGTCCACCTTTCTTGTCAATGCTCATGTACAAGTGATTCTTTTAGCTTCAGCATACACAGAAGAGAGAAACTAGCCCCTCCTTACAAACACTGCACTAACCCAAAAGGCCTATAACATCTCCCACTCTTTGCCATCTTATGAGGTCTTGGAGGGCAGGTGGGTCTGATCTGATGTCCCTCAGCAAGCCCTGAAGTGTCTATCCCTTATCTGTGAAAACTTCTTGAGTTTAGAATGTGGGGTGTGTGGTGTTTCTCTTGAGAATAGGCCCTAGTAACAATCTGGGATAGCAGGAAAGATCTCCCTGGACTTAATAGAAATAAATGCCCTTCAACAAGTATATATTATAAGATACATAATTTCATATATTTATTTGGATCTAGGCCCCATGACATTGTATGGTTCTTGCTTGCTAAATTCTATCTCCCCTGGACTAGCCACTCTTAAAGCTTTCTGGCCCATTCTGGAGCCCAACTCAATGCCCACCACATGGTAAGTGTTCAATAAATACTTTTGGACAGGACTAGGCTAGCTAAGTTTAGTGTAAGAATTTTTTTAAAAAAAGAAAAAGCTTCTAGGGTGTCACCTGTAGCTCAAAGGAGTAAGGGTGCAGGCCCCATATGCTGGAGGTGGCGGGTTCAAACCCAGCCCCAGCCAAAAAAAAAGAAAGACAAACTTCTAAAGAATTTGAAAGAGAAGACACACTTGTTTCCAAAAAGAGAATGGAAGATATTCCAAATAAGGGAAGTAATTTTGAGAGGCAAGTGTACAGATAGAAAAATTCTATGCCTACAACTAGAGTTAGGTTGATTTAAATGGAACAAAATAGTGATCATGTACTGTATCAAGAAATGAGAAGTTGCTTTATAAAATACATAGTTTCATATCTTTGTGATTTTGTAGAATTATCTGCCACTATTATGTATATCCAGTGAGCATATAGTAAGCTGTCAATATTAAGACATATGGCCTCAATTGTTATGGTAGGACTAACCTTAGCCTACCTCCAGAATTTCTAGAACAGATAGATTCTTCAGGTAGAGATAGACAAAGAATATCACATCACATTACCTCATTCCTTATAGCTATTGATGCAATCAAAGTTTGCTGAACAATATAATCTACTTCAAAGTTACTATTGATTCCTTCCAATAACTCTATGTGTGCTAAGTAAATTCTGAAATCTTTCAGGACTATAAAGATGGTCATGGAATAAACAATATTTCAATGGCTTATAAATGCATAATTAAAACCAATAGTGTTGTTGAAAATTTCTATATGCCTTCATTTAGTGTTACATGTCTGGGGTCCTTTGTGAGTATTCCAAACTTGATGTAATTTACCTGTAGTGGAGAAGCATTTGGGAGTTACCCTTACACAGATTTTTCCCAGAGTTAAGGAATACGTGTATGTTTTGAACTGTGTATATTAGAAATAGAAAGGGAAAGCTGATTTTCTGGATCACCTGTCAACACAAGAAATTCTCTTCTTGGATCATTCCATGCTATTCAACTCCTTTTCAACATGAAGTGGACTGCTTCATGACCGTTGTGAGAAATGGTGAGGCTGGAGTGTAGACTTGTTAGATTAATGCGTCTGCTCTTAGAAAGTTGCCAAGTGGTGCTGCAGTAGCAACCAAGTTTTCTGTTAAACCTGTGTGTCCTTGACTGTTGTTTGATGGTGACCTGCAGAAATTGAGTTAATCTAAGAAGTTGGTTAATATCATTTCTGGTTTCAAACTTCCATTCTCTCTCCATCATAATTTTGGAGGGAGAATTTGAACTTCCATTCTATACAGCCTTGAGTTTTCCCTTGGTGTTTTCTTGAACCTTTTTTTCTCTCAAAATATTAAAAAAAAACTTTACATAATTTTCCCAAATTTTTCATACCACCACCCTATGATTTCTCCTCTTTGGTCTGTGCACACATTCTGTCATGAGACAGTTACAAATGAGGTGGTGGGGGCAGCCTTTCAATCAGGCAAGCTTTTCATGCTGTGAAGAAATTCTTCACTATTGCTTTCAATCTCTCAGCATTTATTTAATGAATTCAGACCTCCCTTGCTATCTGAATCTAATCCATTCCTAAAAACACAGTGGATAGTAAATTGTCATACAGAGGGAGTTTATGCTCTATTATTTTAAATGGCAAAAATAATGTATTCCCAGCCCATCTAAAAGCCACAACCAATTTTCTCAAATGTTACTAAAATACTTTTAAACCTATATATAACCATCCACCAAGGATTTCTACATAATGTAAAACGTTTAAAACACCAACTCCTGTACCTAATTACTTTGTGTGCAGTACTCCATTATATGGTGGAGTAGGGCTTCTCAAAGTTTGGCTCACATCGCAGTCATTTTGGGGAGTTCAATAAAGCACAGAATCCTGGGACCCAGAGTTTCAGATTCAGTAGGTCTGGAGTGGGGACCAAGAATTAGCATCTCTAACACACTCCCTATGCTGATCCTGCTGTTTCACCAAGAGGTGAACTGTTGTGGAATATATGAAATTCATCTTTCTTCCACATTCAATGAATATTACTGAAATATAAGTAACCATAGTCCTTAAATGGTAATATGTCCAAGAGACTATAAATAGTGAATGTAAAATTACACTTAGAAAAATCCTTAGAAATTATACTTAGATACTTTGCAGTGGCAGCATCATAGCCAATGAGGTTTATCCAAGGCACGATTATTGCTAATTGAAAACTTTTCCCAGTACCCTGCTGTGATGATTTACAATATAGTTGGCACTGGCAATTTTTGACAGTCTCTACAGAGATTGAATAAAAAGGAAAAAAATTATACTTAGAAAAATTAAATTAAATAAGGCAATTTTCAAATAATGAATTATTGACTAATTGGAGAGTTGCCTGAGCAGAGTTCGATTTTCAGTGGAAAGACATAAAAGCTTCAGTCACAGCTGGGGTTTGAGGGTGAGTAAAAATGAGTGGAACAATAGATGCCTCACACCCTCCAAAATCAAATGCGAGGAACTGGAAGACAGCTTTCTCTGACTGACTTGCAAGTCTCTGGAAGTGGGTTTGGCTCTGAATCATCCTCTGAAGCTGAAACACCATGAAACCAAAATCTCTAAAAATGAACATCTGCTATTTTTTTGTTGTTGTTTAAGGTTATATAGCTCCTGATAACATAAGACAGATGTTGTCATTGCATTTCTGGAATGTGTTTTTTTCCTGTGATGTCATGATCACACCCACTCACCATAGCAGTGTTTTTGTGGATATGATCTGTAATTTCTTCTGAAAATTCAGCATAGAATATCCAGGGCACTTCTTCTTCCCTTTCCTCCAAGTGATGATGATGAATATAAGCTAAGTCCTACTTTCTGAGAAGACATTTTCACTTACTAATTGAGAAAGCTGATCTCCAGATGTTGATGCACATTTAGACATGGACCCCTCTGAGGTGGTACCTGAGATAGGAACTACAACACAGTCTACATCCTCTTACCTGAACTTGCAATTGAAACAGGTTTTCTGGCATTCATTTCCTGACTTGCAATAGCAGGTTTTTGGTTCAGGGACTAAATCTGGAATAAAAATGTTCACAAATCATTATGGTGAGCAGTTGGATAATGAGAGTTCAGATAGTAAGAGATACCTGGATAAATTGAATCTGTACTGTGTGGCAGGCATAGGCCTGGGTGCTAGATATGTAGTGATTAACACAACAAATGTGGTTCTGCCTTCATGACCTTATAGCTCATGAGAGAGAAAGAGAGAGAAAGAATAAATAAGCCAACAAATAAAATGAATACCACTACAATGTGTGATAAAGGCTGAAAGAGGTAAATAACAGGATGCTATTACAGCCAATAATGTAGGAATGGAAGGGAGAATCCCTTCTGAGAAGGTACCATTTTGTTTTTGTTTTTGTTTTTTTATGAAACATTTTGTTTTGAGCTTTCCATGGAAATGTTTAAACTACAAAAAGTATCAAGAAAAAAAAATAACCACCTACATTTCCACCATCTGGAAATAACCTCTTAACATTTTACCATTGCTACTTCCAATTAAAATTTGTATAAAATGTATTTCACTGCTTTAAGGACTCATGGATTTAGAGAACTCAATATGGACTGCCCCAGTCTATTACTGTGCATATGGAATAAAGGGAATTGACAGAAAGTGTTTGGTGTACAACAGGACTTGGTGATGATTATGTGGCTGAGAGAGAGAAAAGCAAATGGGATCAAACCCAGATGTTTAGCATAACCAAGTGGGCAATAATGGTGCCATTAGGAAGAGGAGAAAGGGGTTTGCAGAATAGGATAGAGATGGAGAAAAGAGACTAAGAATTCAATAATTTTGAGATGCACATGAAACACTTAAATGGTGCTGTCAAGTAGGCCATTGAAGAAAAGATTCTAGGGCACAGAAGACAGGATATTAATTTGAGATGTTGCATATAAATGCTATTTAAGGCCAGGGGAATGAATGAGCTCACCTGGGGAAAATTTTAGAGAGAAGAGAAAAGGGGTCAGAACTGAGCCCCAAGAAAAGCCAATATGAAAATAGGTTATGTGAAGAGTAGCCAGGTAAAAAAATGAAAATGCCTAGCCACAGGGGCAGGAAGAAAACCTAATAAAGTCTGTGGTAGGCAGATAGTGATCCCAAAATATCTATGCCCTAATCCCTGGAAACTGTGAAAGTGTTACCTTACATAGTAAAAAGGATTTTGCAGATAGAGTTAAGGTCATGGACATAAGTATGAAGAGCATCCTGAATTACCCAGCTGGGCCCAATGGGACATGGGCATTTAAAAGTGGAAGAAGGTGTCACAAGAGGAGGTCAGAGAGAGGTGATGCTGAAAGAAAAGGCTAGAGAAAGTCAAAGCATAGAGGGACTTGACTCACCATTGCTGACTTTGAAGATGGAGGGAAGGGGCCAAGAGCCAAGGAATGCTGGAATGGCCCTCAGCTGACAACCAGCATGGAAACTTGCTATAGGACCTTACAACTGCCAGTAACTGAATTCTTCCTACATTTTCAATGTACTTGGAATCAGATTCTTCCTGAGAGTTTCTGGGAAAGAACTTAGCCCTGCCAGCACACTGATTTTAGCCAGAGGAAGCCTGTGCCAGACTCCTGACCTAAAAAATGTAAGATAATACATTGTGTTGTTTTTAAGCCTCTAAATTTGTCATAAATTACTATGGCAGTTAGTGCTCAAAAAATATCAGCTATTATTATTGTCCTTTTAGAGACTGTCTTCCTTTTAAAGAGAAGGTATCACCTCTCTCCTTCATGCCCTGGTTGAGTCCCGGCAAGATACTCAAAACTATCCATAGCAGACAATGTCAGAGGCAGTGTTTGATGAATTTTTCATTATGCCTACCTGTCTTAATTAACTGGCTGGCCAAGTCTCAACTGATGGCATGGGAATGCCATCTGAACACTGAAAAAGGTATGAGGTCTTCTTACCTTAATCATGTCTTAAGCTCTCCATAGTTCCCCATCAGAGTTCCTATCTCAGGCTAACTACTCTAATGGAAAGAGGAGTTGCATACAAAGTAATGGAAGTGTTCTTATAGTTTGTGTTCCCTAAACTTCAAGCCCTAATGATAATTTCTTCCCCATTGTTCTCAAAACACAGGTAATGTCATAGCACCTGACAGCTGCAATGTACTCTTCTATTAGAGCCACCCAGGGACAGCCTACATCCTCTTTGTCTTAGAGTAGTGTTTCTCAAGCTTGGCTTCATGTTAAAAGCAGCTGGATTCAAGTAGGGGGGAGAGAAAGAAGGGATTTGGTGGGCACCCACTTGATGAGTACAATGCATGGATACATGGCACACTTCCTGGGTGAAAAACACAGCTACAACTCAGATTTTTTTAATTTCAAATTGTTGTGAGGGTACAACCAGGTCACCATTTTTGAATTTCTTAGGTATACCATTTTTGAATTTCTTATATATAGCCCCTCTTATATTTGTGTCCTGCACCCAAAAGGTGTGCCATACACTCCTACCTTGTGCCCCTGTAAGTGGGACCACAAATCCCCCATCGTCTCGTCCATCCCTCATTCCCCCCCTCCCCAACTTGAATTAAGCTTTTCTTCTATGTGGGAATGTGTTAGATCAGTGGTTCTCAACCTTCCTTATGCCATGACCCTTTGATACAGTTCCTCATGTTGTGGTCGCCCCCAACCATAAAATTATTTTCATATGAAATGTATTAAAGGATCGTGGCATTAGGAAGGTTGAGAACCACTGGTTTAGATGATCTGTTCAGTTCAACCAGAGGAGTTTTAAAGTCCCCAGCTATTGGGTGAACCGACTGGTGACCTGTAGAAGACTGAAACTGGACCCACACCTTTCACCATTAACTAAGATAGACTCTCACTGGATTAAAGATTTACAATTAAGACATGAAACTGTAAAAATACTAGAAGAAAGTGCAGAGAAAACACTTGAAGAAATCGGCCTGGGAGAATATTTTATGAGGAAGAGCCCTGGGCAATTGAAGCAACACCAAAAATACAGTACTGGGTCCTGGATCAAACTAAAAAGCTTCTGCACAGCCAAGGACACAGTAAGTAAAGCAAGCAGACAGCCCTCAGAATGGGAGAAGATATTTGCAGTTTATATCTCTGACAAAGGTTTAATAACCAGAATCCACAGAGAAGTCAAACATATTAGCAAGAAAAGAACAAATGATCCCATCTCAGGGTGGGCAAGAGACTTGAAGAGAAACTTCTCTGAAGAAGACAGGTGCATGGCCTACAGACATATGAAAAAATGCTCATCATCATTAATCATCAGGAATGCAGATCAAAACTACTTTGAGATATCATCTAACTCCAGTAAGATTAGCCCACATTACAAAATCCTAAAACCAGAGATGGTGGCATGGTTGTGGAGAAAAGGGAGCACTTCTATACTGCTGGTGGGAATACACACTAATACGTTCCTTTTGGAAAGATGTTTGGAGAACACTTAGAGAACTAAAAATAGACCTGCCATTTGATCCTACAATTCCTTTACTAGGTATATATCCAGAAGACCAAAAATCACATTATAACAAAAGATATTTGTACCAGAATGTTTATTGCTGCCCAATTCATAATTGCTAAGTCATGGAAGAAGCCCTAGTACCCATCAACCCATGAATGGATTAATAAATTATGGTATATGTACACCATGGAATATTATGCAGCCTTTAAGAAAGATGAAGACTTTACCTCTTTCATGTTTACATGGATGGAGCTGGAGCATATTCTTTTTAGCAAAGTATCTCAAGAATGGAAGAAAAAGTATCCAATGTACTCAGCCCTACTATAAAACCAATTTTATACTTTTCATACTAATCATATGAAAGTTATAACCCAATTATAGCCCAAGAAGAAGGGGAAAGAGGAGAGGGAGGGGATGAGTGGGTGGAGGGAGGGTAATCGGTGGGATCACACCTACAGTGCATCTTATAAGGGTACATGTGAAATTTACTAAGTGTAGAATATAAATGTCTTAACACAATAACTAAGAAAATGCTGTGAAGGTATGTTAACCAGTTTGATGAAAATATTTCAAATTATATATAAAACCAGCATGTTGTACCCCATGATTGCATTAATGTACACAGCTATGATTTAATTTTTTAAAAAGTCTCTAGCAATTATGGTGTTATAAGATAATCAATGTTTGTTTCATAAATCTGGGAGTATTTAAGTTGGGTGCATAAATATTTAGAATTGAAATGTTCTCTTGATGTTGTTCCTTTTACCAGTATGAAGTGACCATCCTTGTCTTTCTTAACTTTAGT